GTGATTTTCAAGCTGCCAGGTCAGGGACTTGAACTGCAGTTGGCCATGTACTAGTCCAGCGCCTTAACTACTATGTCACCTGCTGGCCTAAACCTGCTCTTTCTAAACAAGCATGTACAGTTGTCCTTGGCAAGAAAAAGAATGAAATAAACACTTTAAGGAATGTTTAGAAAGTAACAAAAATGAAGAGGGGGGAAGCAGGGTGGCCTTCTCCACCTCGGCCCCAGAGGTGCTCAGTGTGCTGGTGTCTGGGTTTTCAGTTGCTACTTTCTTCTTCATTTTTGCCAGAGAGACACAGAGACAGAGAAGGTGAGACACTCTCCAGGGGAGATGGCCATGCCATAATCCCTTGCCTTCCAACTTCCTCTTGGGATTTTGGGCATGCATGCTCCATATCTGGTGTGCCTTTGTTTTTTGGAGAGAGAATTTTGCTACAGGGTGTGTGTGCTCGCTGGAGAGTCAGAGAGACAGAAGGTGAGAAATCACCCTCTAGGGGGGATGGCCATGCCACAATCTCATCTCGATTCTCCTCTCCGGATTTTGGACATGCAAGCACATGCGCCTGGTGTGAGTTTTAAGCCACCAGGTCCGGGACTCGAACTGCATTTGATTACATGGGAGTCCAGCGACGTAACCATTATGCCATCTGCTGGTCTCCCAGCATATTTTTTTCAAGTCACCAGGTCCGAGACTCAAACTGTGGAACTGGTGACCTGAGATCTAGCACCTTAGCCACCATGCTACCTGCTGGCCGGGGGTTGCTGCTTTTCAGGACACTGTCATCATGCCGTGCCCACCGGACTCTGCTCTGCTGCCAGTCTTCCCAGAGTCCCTGTGTACTGTGGCGAACACCCTCCAGAGTAGGCTCCGCTCCCCCCAGTTTACAGGTGAGAGGTCAGGGCAAGTAGACCAAGGTCAGCGGCAGGGGAGGAACAGAGCAGGGACATGTGCTGGGCAGCTCGGCTCAGCTCCCCGCCTCTGCTGCAGCCACTGCACTGTTCCCTGCTGTTGCCCCAGTGTGTGAACACTCTAGGGTCTACCTACTCTCCTGCCTATGGTGTGGTTGCTGAAAACTAAAGTAGAGGGGCCAGCAGGTGGTAAAGGGCGCTGGACTCCCACGTGGCTGACTGCAGTTCGAGTCCCAGACATAGCGGCTTTGTTTTCTACCTTTGTTGTCCACGGTTTCTCACTTTCTCTCTCTCTCTCTTTCTCTCTCTCTCTCTCCCTCTCTGGTGAAATTTAAGTAAGTAAGTAAATAAATAAATAAATAAAGTTAAATCTTTTTTTTTTTTTTTTAAAGGAAAGAAAAAAGAAAAGGTAGAAGACTTCCAGCCACGGCTTTCATGTTGTCTAAAACACATGGGCTCAGGGGCCCTCTGCCACTATTCAGAGACTCCGAGCTAGGAGGCTCAGGCACTGTCCCCGAGTGGAGCCCCCAGGCTGCTTGGGCACAGGCCAAGTGACACCACCTGGGCTGCCCGGCCATGGTGCCCAACTGGAGAACGCTCAGGAGTGAACACACATGGTGAGCCTTGTTTCTGGAAGGGCAGCCTTGAGGCTCGCTAATGAAGCGTCAGTGTGCTGCAGGACCTAAGTGTCCCGAAAGACCCAGTGACAGCTGCAACGTGCAGGGAACAGGGAGGGCTTGCAATACAGGGCTGTTGGGGCAGAGTGAGGGCAGTGTTCTAGGGAGAGGAACTGCCTGTAGGAGCTGTAGGGAGGGGGGATATGCAACTCCAGAGCCCAGAGGGTGATCTGAGAACAGAGGCAGGGACCGTTCTGTCCTAACGACTCCATGGAACAAGCTCTCCCAGATACACCCACGCTACGGACAGGGAGGCCCTGTGTGGGAAGTTTCCAGATTCCCAACACATACCCAGAAGAGAGCTGCTGCCAGAGCCCCACCTACTACAGAGGACTCTTCTCTGTGGGAGGGAAGATACACACATGGAAGCCCTTGTGGAGGGAGCCCAAGGAATGCTGGCAGCCTCAGACTCCTGACCCCAAGTTAGCAGTCTCTAGACCCGATGCGAATAAAGGTACCCCCCCTCCCTGCCTTTTTTTTTGAAATCTGGTCTTACTGTGTTGCTATCCTCCTGTCTCAGCCTCCAGAGCATCTGGGACCACAGGTGTGCAGCACCGCACGTGGCTATTTCTGGTTCTTCCTTTTTTGTTTTAAGGGTGGGCCAGGAATCGAACCTGGGCCTCACATGTGGCCTGAGTCAACTGAGTACCACCACCAACCGGCATGCACCACAAATGCCAGCTCACTGTGCCTCCTGTTCTGAACCAATAAGCTCTCTCTCTCTTTTTTTTTTGAGAGTTTTTTGCGTGTGCGCTCGCCAGAAAGAGAGAGAGAGAGAGAGACAGAAAGCAAGAAATCACCCCCCAGGGGGGATGATGGCCATGCCGCGATCCCTGTTCCTCTATTCTCCTCTCGGGATCTTGGGCACGCACACACACGAGCCTGGCGTGAGTTTAAGCCACTGAGTCCGGGATTCCCACAGCAGTTGACTACGTGGGAGTCCAGCGACATAGCCATGACGCTAACTGCTGGGCCCTGCACCAATAAACTCTTCAGGGTCCCTGAGTGTGTGGACAATGAGGTCCTCACGGCTGGTGTGGAGCGGGCTGCGCACACCCACATAGCCTAGGGCACAACTGTGCAATGAAGGACAAGAGCTGAGCACATCGTGGGGGCACTGTTGAATTCGAGGACCCCGCAAACATGAAGTGCTGACTGTGGGGAGAAAGCTGGCTGCCCCTCAGCCTCACGAAGTCGACTCTACCACTTCCTGTTATATGAACGAACGGGGCGAAAGGCAGCTCACTGGAGGTTTGATCAGGTCATCTCTTACCACGCACAAGGGTGATCACCCTTTTACACTGAAATGCCATCTTTGCTGTCTTAGATTAAGATGGCCGGGACCAACAGGTGGTGTGGTGATTAAGGCTCTGGATTCCTCCATGGCCAACTGCAGTTCGAGCCCCAGACCCAGTGGTTTGAAAATCACACCGGCATGTGTGCACACGTGCCCAAAGTCCTGAGAGGAGCGTGGAGGAGAGGGGACGGTGGTTTGGCCAGCCTTCCTACTGGGCAATCTTTCACTTTCCCTCTCTCTCTGGTGAGCACATACATTCTACGGCAAACACCTTAAGAAAAAAAAGGGGGTTGCGGCCTGAGGTCAGGTTGTGATGCAGCAGTAAGGCGACTAGATTCACAAGGGGAAGGGAGAAGGGCTGGGCTCACACCCAGATCTCCCTGTGTGTGGCAGGAATGTGCACATGTGTACATGAGCCCATGAGCCCATGACCCCAGCTGGCTGAGGCTGCAGGTGGGATTGCAGCATGAAGACTGTTTGTTTTTTTTTTGGAGAGGTTTTCGCTATAGGGCGTGTGCGCTCACCAGACAGAGACAGAAAGTGAGAAATCACCCCCCAGAGGGGACGGTCACACCACAATCCCTTCTCCTCCATTCTCCTCTCGGGATCTTGGGCACACACGCACACACGCCCGGTATGAGTTTAAGCCACCAGGTCTGGGACTCGAACTGCGGTCAACTATGTGGGAGTCCAGCGACATAGCCATTATGCTAACTGCTGGCTCCCTCAGCATGAAGACTGTTGACGGGTGCCCATCTTTGTCTTTCTCTCTCTGTCTCAGAAAATAAAGAAACGTAATGGCCAAGCTCTCTCTACATAAGCAAGCAGAGGGGAGGAGGGAGCAGGTGCCTACCGTGTATACTCAGATCCCACGACACGGGCGTACTCGGCTCCCACGCCCAGGAGGTCGCAGGCCGACACCAAGTCCTTCTCAAGCGTGTGCAGTTGCTGAAAAGGAGAGTGAGCAATGAGGCTGGCTGCCGTGCCCGTCTGTTTTACAGCTCCCGGCCTTCCTGCTTTGGAAGCGGGTTCAACCAAATCTCCCTGCACGTCAACAAAATCGCCTCCGTGTCAGTTCTGAGCTAAATTAACCAAATTATCTCATCAGTGTTAATTGCCGTGGGTACAGAGCTCCACTCCGCCTACAGAACAGATCCAGACTGAACAGGGCATAAAACCAGCAGCTGATGCTCATGGGCACAGACCCCAGGCTGTGTGGGACATCCAGCATGTTTCTTGGGTCACCTATGAGGGCAAGCCACCAGGAGGTTGTCCCCCTTGTGCCCTGGGAACCACAGGAAGAGACTCCCTCATAGGTGCTTATCTAGGGGAGTTTTGTTTTTTTTGAGAGGTTTTTTGCTATAGGGCGCATGCACTTGCCAGTAGGACAGAGAGACAGAAAGCGAGAAATCACCCCCCAGAGGGGATGGCCACGCCACAATCCCTTCTCCTCCATTCTCCTCTCGGGATCTTGGGCACGCATGCACGTGCGCCCGGTGTGAGTTTAAGCCACCAGGTCCGGGACTTGAACTGCAGTAGACTACATGGGCGTCCAGCGTCGTAGCCATTATGCTAACTGCTGGTTCCATCTAGGGGAGTTTCAACCCAAAAGACTTACTAGGCTGAATGGAAAACTGCCTGGTTCATTCCTGGAAGAACGTGTGGGGTGCTGGTTGAGAGCTAAGGCTCCCACATGCACTCACGTGGGGAGCCCACCAGCTCTGGGACCTGGGGCAGTGGCCTGCTCCCTCGCTGCCCACGGGCATGGGCGTATTTGGGTGGATTAAAGGACATGGTGTGCAGGAGGGGCGTAAGCAGGCCTGGAAAGAATAGCCTTGGAGCTCCGTCACGGGGTAAGCACTTCCCTGTGGGCGACGCACTCAGTCAGACCTTCCCAGATGCCAGATGAAGGACTTTGCTGGGGAGTGGGGGGCACTTCTGGCCCAGAGTCTACATGCTGTGTGCCTCGGCGGGTGAAAAGGCTGTATTGGGAAGGGTGGGCAAGAGGCTGGGGACAGAGAGGCTGAGGCCGGCCAAGGAAGGGATGTCCGAAGATGCTTACAGAGAAGGGTTGGGGGCAGAGCCTAGGATGGAAGAGATGCCTCAGAAGGCAGAGCCTGCCCACCACCCACCAGCTGCTGCCCCCCGCTGTGGCCAGGAAGGCCCAGTACAGTGCCCTCCCAACCTGAGTGTCCTGGAGTGCAGGGACCAGAAGTCCTGCCTACTTTTGGGGAGCTGAAGGGAGGCTGAGGGAGAGCCATGATAAGCCCAGGGTGAGGCTGTGTCCAGCACTCCTCAGTGGGGCTCTGGGAAATAAGAATTGACTTGGGCGTTTGAGGCCCGACAGGTCGCCCCTTGGGGTCTTAGTGCAGCTCTTAAAGCCAGCAGGTCTCAAGAAGCAGGAAACACTCCTTGGATTTCAAGGAGCACAGGTCAGAGGGAGCAGCCAGGCGGGAGGGAGACGCGAAGATAGCGAGTCTGAGGCCCCAGGCTCTGTGTCAGCCCTCACTCACCCCTGGGTGCTGCTAGAGCAAGGCCCGAGGTGGAGGTTGGATGGAGCTCGTTAGCAGATTCTAGAAACATCCCCTTGTCCCCACCCACTCAGTGCAGCCATCTAAGCCGGGGGGGGGTGGGCAGAAGGGTAGGGGTGAGGGAGTGGCTAGACTCTGGGGCTATTTGCACTTGGGCACGCGTGCCCCAAAGTCACAGCCTGCAGGACTCACTGCGAGTTGGAAGAGCAGGCGGCAGTGCCAGTACGGGGTCTGCTGCGAGATCTGGATGGCCTTCCGCAGCAGCGGCTTTGCTGCATCCACGGAATTCTGCAAGGAGACGGTCAAGTTTGTGGAGGAAATCAAAAGAAAAAAAAAAAAAAAAAAAAAAAACCACCACCACCAAAGCAGCAATCAAGCTGGATTCCTTACACAGCAGCTGCGGCACCAGAAGGCTGTTCCGTTCATGCTTACCAAGGACTTTTTTGGGTTGCCAATTTACTTTATTAAAAGAAAAAAGGATATTTTATTGGACTTGCTGGCTCGGAAGTTTTTGCACTGATCTTAAAATAACTTCCATTCAACTAAACTCCAAGAAACTTCAGTTCAAAATCCTCAACAGTCAAATTGGATGCCAGTTGGGGACCAGCAGATGGCGTAATGGTTACGTTGCTGGACTCCCACAAGTCAACTGTGGTTCAAATCCCAGACCTGGCAGCTTAAAAAAAAAAAACCTCATGCCAGGTGTGTGCATATGTGCCCAAGATCCCAAGAGGAGAATGGAGCAGAAGGAATTGTAGCGTGACTATGCCCCCATGGGGGTGACTTCTCGCTTTTTGTCTCTTTCTCCAGCGAGCACACACATTCTATAGCAAAAATCTCTAAAAGAGAAAAAAAAAAATTAAGACTCTAGTTCCCATCTTCTGTGTTTTAAGACCAGAGAGCTGTATCAGGGTGTGAGACACATGACCCTTGCACTCAGGCCACCTCACACATCATCTGTCAAAGAAGGGAGAAAGGGGGCCAGCAGGTGCGGTGATGGCAAAGGTGCTGGACTCCCACATGGCTGACTGCTGTTCGAGACTACTGGTCCTAGACCCAATGGCTTGAAAATCACACCAGGAACAAGTGCATGCATGCCGAAGATCTCAGGAGGAGAAGGGATTGTGGTATGGGCATCTCCCTGGGGGTTGATTTCTCACTTTCCCTCTTACTGTCTCTCTCCCTGACAAGCACACGTGCCCTATGGAAAAAACCTTAAAATACACACATATACCCCGAAAACCAAAGAGGGGAAGAAGACAACTTTCAGCTACAACTGAAATTGAAAAGCTACACTGAGAAGGTAAACTATGGGGCTGGACAGTAGCTTTACAGGCTGACCCCCATGGCAAAGTTCCAGGCTTGCATCATGAGACCTTCCTGAGCACGCCAGGCCCATGTGTGCACACGCTGGGGGTGGATCGCTGTGTGAAGACCCTTTTGAATCTGTCCCCCATAACAGGAAGGAACTTTATTTTTTTTAAATGCTATTCATTGGGACCAGCAGGTGGCATAGTGGTTAAGGGCACTGGACTCCCACAGGGTCAACCGTGGTTCAAGTCTCGGACCTGGCGGCTTGCTTTCTTACTTTCCCTCTCTCTCTCTGGTCAAATTAAAATAAAATAAAATAAATAAATGAAAGTTAAATGAAATCATTCTTTAGAAAAAAATGCTATTCATTTATTTTTTATTGTCAGAGATATATATACTCACCAGAAAGAGACACAGATAATCTCCCAATGTGGCCTGGTCACGCCACAATGCTTTTCCTCCCACTTCACCCCATAGGATTTGGGACTACATGCAAAGACACCTAGTATGTTTTTCAAGCCTCCAGGGGAAGAATTTGAACCATGGTTGGCCGTGAGGGATGTGGCTCCCTATGTATAGTACTTAACCATTTAGACACAGGAGCACAAGAAAAAAAAAAAAGTTGGGGGTGGGAGGCTGGTCCTGTGGCTTACTGATAAAGAGAGCCAGATCCCATGGGGTTGCCCGCATGGTTCAAATTGTGCCCCGGTAGCTTGAAAAACATTCTGGGCAGGTGTGCATGCCTGTCTAAGGTCTCAATGGGGTGGAAAAATGCAGATGGGACTGGAGCATGACCACACCCTACCGGACGGCGCTTTTCCTCTCTCTGTCTCTCTCTTGCAGGTTCACAGACTCTCTGGCTTATTTAAAAAACAAAAAACAAACAAACAAACAAAAACCAAAAAAAACTCCCAAAAAACAGACAAAAAGCAAAATGACCCTCTAAAAACAAACAAGTAAGGGGCAAACTAGATTTGCTAGATTAGGAATAAACCTGGTTTCCTCAACAATGTCTTCAGTATAAAAGGATTCTGTCAGCCCTTGTTAGCAAGTGATTAACCATGAAAGCCCTGTATTAGGTAATTTGACGCATTAAAAATGAGAATGGGGGGACCGGCAGTTAGTGTAATGGCTATGTCGCTGAACTTCCATCCCGGACCCGGTGGCTTAAACTCACGCCAGGCGCGTGTGCGCCCAAGATCCCGAGAGGAGAATGGAGGAGAAGGGATTGCGGTGTGGCCATCCCCCTGGGGCGGTGATTTCTCGCTTTCTGTCTCTCTGTCTATCTCTGTCTTCCTGGCAAGCGCACGTGCCCTATAGCAAAAAAACCTCTCCAAAAATATACAAAAAAGAGAATGGGGCTAGCCAGGTGGTGTGGTGACTAAGGCAGCTGGATCCCACGTGGACAATTCTGTGGTTCAAGGCCTGGACCCAGCAGCTTGAAAAACACATTGGGCCATGTGTGTGTGCCCAAAGTCTCGAGAGGGAAAGGGACTGAGGCGTAGCCATCTCCCCTAGAGGGTGATTCACTTTCCTTCTTACTCTCTCCGTCTCCCTGTGGCAACTGCATGTGCTCTATAGCAAAAACAAATACAAAACAAAACCCTCAAAATGACAACAAAAACACAAAAAAAGATAATGGATTCTGACTCCTGCAAGCACCAATTTGCTTTCTGCTATAGTGAGAAGAAGAGATAGAAGTTGAGCATTCATTATCAAAAATGTTTGGGGTGGGAACCAGCAGTTAGCGTAATGGCTATGTCGCTGGACTCCCTCGTAGTTTACCACGGTTCGCGTCCCGGA